CCCATCCCTCCACCAGTGCACATTCCCCACCACCAATATCCCCAGTATACCCCCCCCCCTTTCCCATCATCCCCAGACATGATTCACCATAATCTCTCTCTACTTTTGGGCATTATGGTTTGCAATACAGATACAGAGAGGTCATTATGTTTGGTCCATTATCTACTTTCGGCACACATCTCCCATCCCGACTAATTCACCCAGCCATCATTTTCTGAGTTATTCCTTCTCTATTCCATCTGCCTTCTCCCCTCTGCTCATGAGGCAGACTTTCAGCTATGGGGCAATCCTTCTGACCCTTGTATCTACTATCCTTGGGTGTCAGTCTCATGTTATATTAAGAATCTGTCTTCTTAAAAACTAAAAACCAAACCACAATTGGTTCTTCTACTAAGTTTAAGAGGAATTGCTCTAGGCTGAATCAATATTGACTTAAATCAACGGAGCTACTTGGTAGGTAAGTATTTAGTCCTAAATACAAAATAAACCCTAAAACCAAGGTTATCGTTTCATTTGTCCTTCAGCTTCTTAGATATTCAATGTACATAGCATAGTGAAGGTATGAAGATATATGGGCAATTTGGAAAAGAAAATGCTGATTTGAGAACAGAAATAAAGCTTAAAACTAAAGATTTCATGTATATTATAATGCAAGGTCAACGTAATAGATGACAAAATTATTTTTTTGACTCCCCAGGTCTCCACTCATTTTATATATATAAAAAGAAAGCATAGCTGTTCTCTTTGCCTTTGACTAAGTCAATTAGGCCTATTTTAATTATCTAATTTTAAAAAATTAAGTAATAAAGGCACTCAGATCCTGGAATTATAATCTGAATCACAACACCTGTCTGACTAGGTGGAGTGGGGGGTGGCTGGGGTGTTCTTCAAGCACTTACCCGTATTTGAGGCAGATCAAATATCTAACCTCACAGTTGAATTAAATAGAGTCCTAACTGAATTTCATAAAAATAAATCACTGAACTCAGTACTCCCTTCTCCCATGGCAGGTGTCCCCCTGTTGAATTGCAAATGGCTCCATCAGCAGAGAAATGGGATGGGTCACACCAATGGCTCAGGAGCACACTTGAGCAGGGTGAGGTACATTGAAGCCCCAGCTTTCCCAGACACTGAAACTGATTTTCCATCCACTGAACTGGGAAGCTGGAATTTTCAGTTGGAGCCAGTTCTGAACATGGTAGCTGCTGGCAATCTGGCTTGGATCCACTGTTCCTGAAATAAGCCCTGCCCATCCCTGCCAGGAACAAAGCAGGCTCATGACTAGTGGACACTTGCTTAGCCAAGTTAGTAAACTTAGTGCCACCCAGAACTCTGCTTCCGGCTAACCAGCAGGTCATGCTTTCCAAACTGTTTTTAGCTAGCAAGATGCAAACACCTGCAGAGACATTCAGTGTGGGGGTGGGTGGGTGGGTGGGGTGATGACAAGTGTGGTGTCATAGGTGTCAGCTGCCTCTTCAATCCAGTTCATCACAGGGTTACTTGTGCACACACAGATCAGACCTGGATGAACACACGGAAGACAGGGACTGGCAGGCTCTGCCACAATGCCTTGATGTGTGTTCTGGCACTGTGAGGACTTTATGATGGGGAGCCTAGCCCCCGAGCCACATGGTTCCCCACCATGGTTCAGGGTGCCCCGATCTGACTTCATAGCCACTGCCAGGCCTCAGAAATTGTGGACATCAGGCCATCTGGACACAGGACTGGGTAGAGACCTCAAAGGGCTAGAGTGCATGGAGGAGGCCCGGGTTCAACCCCTGTACTTCTTGCTCCCCCAGCATAGAGCTAAGAGTAGCCTCAAGCACTGCAGGGGCGTGTGGCCCAAAGAGTGAACAAAAAAATCCCACAGTGAGTTCAGAGCTGGGGTCCTTTCCTCGGGACTCTCCCAGGCAGGACAGTCTCTAACTGACCTGATAAACAAAATGAGTTAAGAACAACAATTAGGGCGAGGCCTGTGGCTCAGTGGTAAAGTACTTCCCTTGCACAAATCCGTCCTCACTTTAGATACCCGACAATGGGGGGGGGGGGGGGGGAAGAGGACAAGTCAGTACAGAGATTGCCTGAAGTCAGCACATTTCTAGTCCACTGTTGTTTTTTTCCCCAACAAAATAATGTTAGAAAAAGAGAGTGGTGTGAAGCCTCAGTAGACTTTTTTGAAATTTCTCCTTATAATGCAGTTCACTTCTATTAGGAGTTTATGGCCATGTGCTCCAGTATCAGCACTGTATGGATGAACAAACTGCTGGACAGGGGAGAGGGCCCAGGAACTAGGGGCTCTATGTGGGATACTGGCTGGCTCGCCAGCCCACATGCCCTTGAGCACTGTGGTGGAATTCTGGAGGCTCTGAGCACCCTTAGGGCCTGACATCAGTCCACTCGTCTAAGTGTCCCAAGGACTCATTCCTGACTCTCCTTGAACAGCGTTTGGGAGGTCTCCCCACCCACTGTAAAAAAAATAGTCCATATGGACAAAATAAACCTGCTGGCTATGTAGAGGTTGTTGAAACATTTCATCACACATTATGTGAGCTGTTACAGGAGTGGTGAGCAGACGGAGCAGCAGATGGGTTCTTGGCTCATTTGGTCAGCAAAGAATTGATCACATGGACTACTTTTTCTTGTTGTTGTTTTGGTTGCACCTGAGGATTCTCAGGGCTTACTCTTGGTTCTGTGCTCAGGGATCACTGTAGAGTGGGACGTTGATCTCATCACTGTCACTGTATCACTGTCATCCCCTTGTTCATCGATTTCCTCGAGCGGGCACCAGTAACATTTCCTTCGTCCTAGCCCTGAGATTTTAGAAAGTGCCACATTCGAAGCTCTTTCAGGGTCAGGGGAATGAGACCCATCATTGTTACTGGGTTTTGTCATGTTGAATATGCCACGGGGAGTTAATTTCATACTGGGTGGGATTTAGATGGATGGTTCTAAGTTGTGGGCTCCTGTAACTAGACAGCCATTGAGCATACAATTGCACATCTTGCAGACTGATATGCCTGCAATGCTAATCATCTCATAAGCTGGGAATGTGCTGGGTAAACTGAGGCCAAGAGGCAGACCTGAATGCCAGGCAGGAGGTGCTCTATACCCCAGATAGGGTTTTTTCAGGCACAATTTCATTTTTTTGAGGTCCTAAAAGCATACTTAGACTTATCCTTGCTGTCAGGATCCAACTCCACCCTTTGCCTTTAATAATAACCTTTGACAAAATAAGGGATGGGTTCCAGGTGGGTGCATGGGCAACAGAGATTGGGGGGGCAGTGACCAGCATGTGGCACTACCACCCTCTTACTTGGCTGGTGAGGTGCCAGCCAAGTAAGAGGTCAGGACTCAGAAAAGCCAGCAGGGGTTCCTGGTGTGTAGAGACCTGAGTTATGACCACCTAAGTTTTCAGGGCATTCTGTCTATCCTCTCAGAAAAGAATTTTAGGAGAAAAAAAATGGTGGAGAAACATTTTGTTTAGGAAATATCAGGGGGGAGAGAAAGAGGAGTACCCCACGCTGGGGTACAGGTGATTCCTGAGAAGGAGTACACCCACAGTGGTTTGCAGATGATTCTTGGAAAAGATGGAGATTTTCAGGGAAGGGCTGAACTCCAGGACAGGCGTGAGGAGACGAGAGTGTATGCACGCTGTATCGGCTTCTTCAAAGATGGTGTTGGGGGATTTTCCCAAGGTGCTCCACCTGGAAGTCTGCTGCTAGGGGTTGTCAAGGGCAATTGAATCATTCTTTCACAGCTCCTGTTGGAACTCAACCTGGTTATGATTTTATGAACTTTGTCTGAACTTTATTGCCAATATACCCAACTTCCACCCAATCACATGCCTGCTTCCAAAGGATGAATTCAGTGCAAATCAAGTAATTTCCTCAATGTAAGAAAGTGAAAGAACTGAAAGTCAAACTAATACATCTGTTTTGGACCTGGACTAATTCTAATGTTTAAGAATACGTGATATAGTGCTTGTATTTGTGTATACATATATATACATATATATGTATACAGCTAATGATGTGATTCTTATTTATGTATTTACTACTGATGCAGTCAAAATGGTCTAGAAAAATTTTATTTAATCTATTGAATTGAGAAAGCAAAATCACAGGATCAAAAAAAAAAGGTGTGTGGGGGACTTGTCTACCTGGGGATAATGTCCAAATGAAGATTTTGATGGTGAGGCAAAATATGGAAAATAAAACATTCCTCAGTTATTTTGACATCTTTTTGTATCCATTACGGGGGGAGAGGGGGTCTGAATAGGTTTTTTTTTAAATTCTAATTTTCGCAAAATGTCCTGTATAATTTTTTGGTGATTTCTCAGTTGAGTCTCTAACACTCAAGCTACTAATTGGCCTGAATTGCAAGTTGCATTTGAAGAAATGGTTCTAGAGCCTAGTTTTTATGAAAAAGAAAATTATCAGCTTCTTACTAAATTGCTTTTATGGATTATGAGAAAGACAATTAAAAATAACTGGTAGTCATTATGAGAAAGAACTATTTCAGTGAGTATACAGGAACTGGAGTGAAATTATTCTTTAAAACCATTATTAGAAGAAATCTAAACCGATGGATGATTTGTATGTATAATTTGAGACATGTGTTTTCTCTGAGCTCAGATCACCTTTTATGAAAATATTTATCTTTTGTATTAAGCAGGTAAAACTCTGGTTGAATTTTTAAACAGCTTGGTCTTAAACATGCATAAGCTCTTGGCTGTTTTTTTTTAAACTTTATACTGGTTATTTATATTGTAATATATAAAAAGCATATAAAATATATTTTATTATATATAAAATTACATATATAAAAGATATATATAGACTATATATTGGAACAAAATCTCCTCTTAAGCTACCACAAGAGAGTTCCTCTGGCGAAGACACGTTGTGGGTTTCACTATATTTGTGGTTTGTGTCCTTACTCTCAACACGGTCTCCAAAATCCTGCAAATCTGCAAAAACTGCAAAATACACTCTGACAGCTAATGCTCTGAAAACACTTTATTACACAAATTACATTCAGATTCTGAAAATAGTGTTCTAACAGTGTAACCATCTAAAAATAAGACACTCCCACCCCCCAACACACCAACGGAAGAAGGAAATTCAAAGAAAAATTGAAATAGAGACTTTGTTTTCTTTTCCCTCCTTGCAATATAATGTTAGTGATTTTAAAAAAATAGAAGAAGATTTAGCAGCTTTGTAGTCAGGTAGCACAAAGGTTCTCTTTACTGCCACAGGCTGAGAATGCTGACCAGGAAAGGCACCAAAGAAAGACATTGGCAACGGTCGTGCTACTGGGTAGATACTGTGTTCAAGCAGAGAATGGGCTTCTATTTACACCTGCTGGAAAGGTCGAGCAATGTCAGCGAGCAAACTTCCACCGTTAAATTAGTATGTGATGGAAGAGGACTGTCTCTCTAGTCTATGTGCCTATGAAGACAATGACACTGCAGTGACTGTTTGGGAAACTCCGTAACTAGAAACTGAAGCCAACGAAAGCAAAAGGAAAGAAAGTCAAGTGTGGACAGTCCCACATAGACTAGTACAGTTTACAATTAAATACACAAAACGCTAAACGTGCTCGAGGGAGAGGGATCTGGCAACTGGGCTGGAGCAGGTGTCACCCCTTCAATCAAAGCCTGGCTGTGCTCAGGAGGAGGGCATTGGGGGCACCGGCAGAGGGGCCGAGTACTCCTCTTCCGATTCACTTCCATCATCCTCGTCTTTCTCTTGGTCACTTCCCTCTGTACTAAGGCGGTCAAACCCTTTTCGGCTGTAACCTTTCCGGCTGGCAAAGAAGTTTCCAAGGTTTAAGCCTCCAGTTCCTTTTCCTGCAGAGAGCAAACAAGGACAGAGCATGGAAGTTAAGATTTTCAGGAATGTTGCTAGTTTTCTTGTAAAGTCCCAGTGCTCTTGTAAATGGGAACATGGGGGAATGGATAAGGGGGTCGATATTTGTTTAAACAGAAATGCCACACGGGGAAAACTATGTGACTGCGGAATCAGAAAGATGAGCCACAGGCTCATTCTAATAAATAAAGAAAAACACAGGTCCCTGACTAGGTGTTTCCACAGACCAATTTCGGACGCTTCCTGATTCTTCCGGGCACTCTGGAATTGGCATCTCTTACAGCAACTCTTCATTTCAGTGACTTTATGAATAGGTCATCATCACTATGACAAGCACTGACATGTTGACAGGAGTGACAGAGAATGTGCTGCAGACAAATGAAGCCAGATAAAAGGCAGGGGAAGAGAAAAAGATAATGGAATGGCAGTGCTGGGTGGGAGAGGAAGCTGGGAACTCGGGGGCCAGAGTCACACCCTGTAGAGCAGCTGACGAGCATCTGCATTTAGCGGTGGGGAAAGCTAAGCCGAATACTCAGGGCGTTTGTCTGGGTGGAGAGCAAAGTCCTCTCCTTGCTCTTAAAAATAAAACTTCTGACTCTGAAGTGGTGAAGGACTCGAAAAGGTGGCAGGCATACCTCTGAGTCTTCCCAGCACTCTTGCTGAATTTGCCTCCAGTTTGTGTCCAGAATCTGCTAGAAAAAAGAGGGCAAATTCCAAGTATAAGTCCCTCTGACCCTTCTCAGTTCATGGACTCACTTTTAACACAAAAGTTATGAATTTATAAATGACGAGCAAAGTCTGATAGGTAACATGTATTATTGTAATGATGATAAAGGCCAGAGCTCTGCCTTTATCTCTTACAGATTCTATAACTTTGGAAAATGACTTCTCGGGGTTTCAGGTTTCTCTTTCATGAGAAGAGGGATGAGGAAAAAGGCTTTCCTACCAGAAAGGATAATTTATATGGGCAGGTGCATGGAAGGTATTTAGACAACTTCCTGCTACATACATAGTAAATACCCAGTAAGTGTTATCTTATTTAGGACAACATATTTTAAATTTTTAATTACCACAATTTAGAAATATTTGTCTTAGTTTTGATCTATTAAGACTGGCATGTGGTAGCTCTGAGTGCTTTCAGTCACCGGAAGATCCATGTCTCCCGATGGTTCAGCCAATCCATGAAGGCTTCTATGTTCATCTTCCCCTAGCTGTGGCCTTCCCTGCACTCTTAGGCCGACCTCCAGATTTCCCTCATGGCCATGTCAGGAATGCGTGGCCTGGGGTTCTCCCTGATCTCAGAGATTCGGCAGCATCTACTCCATTCAAGAGTGACAGTGCAGCGTGCAGACAGCCAGCGGGCAGGTAACAGAGATAAGTCACAGAGTTGGTGAGGAGAGGACAAAGTAAGGCTGGAAGAAGAGTCTTTCAAGAACGTTAGAAAGCCAATGAGTTAGCGTCTATTTCTTGCAGTGTTTGCTGGGCAGTTGGCATGCAGGGAGAGAGCTGAATAACTGAAAGCTTCTTTGCAAGTGTTCCTAAACACCCTTACAGACTCAATCTCTATCACAAAAAAATGTTGAGGAAAGAGGAGAGGTGGATCTATTCTCAGGGTACAATGCTGAGTCAGAGAGGAAAGCAAGTCTTCCATAAAACTTGCTGGAGGTCAGGAAGTTTCAAGTCCAGCATGGGTCATGACCTCCCCTCAAACTGATGCACACAACATTCAGAGAGTGCTTTGGAGTGAATGAAACATCTAACTTTAGTGTCTGCCTAGCCCCTACTTCCACATGGGCTATTTGGCAACATTTCTGCTCCCCAAGATCCTCGTGTTCCCAGCACTGTGTCTCCTACAGTGCTCATCACCCTCTGCTACTAATTTTATGTGTTATCTATTTGTCATGTCTGCTATTTGGTGAGCCCCATGCAGTCAGTCACTCTTCAATCTATTGACCCCCGAGTGCCAGGGACAGTTAATCGTGCTGGAGTACGTGCAGAGACAAGGCAACACACAAGAATCTTTCTCTTCTGAATTTTTCCTCCACCTCCATAAAGACAATGAATATGTCCATTTATCTTTTTCATTTCATCAACATTACATATGCATTCAGAAGTCTTTGAATTAGCACTCTTTTTTTTTTTTGCAGGGTTTTATCTACTGCTGGTAAAAAGAAAACAAAAAAGTCCCTTGCACAGCCTATTTGACTGAATCCTCTGATTTTTGTTTCCACATCCTTTGTGATGTCAGGGCTTTGACATGGGCACTGGCTCTCTGCCATAACTGCCTTGGTCTGAAATAACACCAGATGCTCTTGACTGATCAAATGCCTCCACTCCTGGCCATAGATTCTATCCCAGACACAGCTGGAGACTGACTCCCTCAGAATTTGAGACCCAGTGGTAGGGCTGCTCCTGGAAGGTGAGAACTGTGGTGGGATTATTTATTTGGCAAGTCTAAAAAGAATTCAGTTCTTTTTCCTGGGTCCTATAATTATAATAATAGTTTTATAAAACACTGACTATAACATTGGACCATGCTTTGTTCAGTTAGGGAAGATTGATGACTTAAATTGCGGTAAAAACTATTAGATGATTTTCTGTGGAAGTAGTTGGTTTTCTGAGAAAGCTGAGTTTACAGTAAATATCCATTATGACTTATGACGGGATAGCACAGCGGTAGGGCGTTCGCCTTACAAGCGGCCAACATGGCCGACCCGAGTTCGATTCCTCCGCCCCTCTCGGAGAGCCCGGCAAGCTACCGAGAGTATTCGATATGCCAGACACAGTAACAACAAAGTCTCCAATGGAGACGTTACTGGGCCTGCTCGAGCAATGACTTATGACTTTTGTTGCTTGTTATTTCATTACTAGCAACTATTCCTTTTGACCACTGGTGATATTGAGGACTTACTAGAGGCCAGGTGTCATGATACATGCGTTATGTCAATTACTTCATATATAGACATTATTTTGTTGGATGCTCACACAATTTTGAAAGTGTGTTATCTCCACTTTACAGATGAGGAAATTGTGGCTGGGAGAGATTAAGTAACTTGCCCAAGATTATGCTGCTAGGAGTTAATGGTCAGGACTGGAGGGAATGAAACTCCCAAATAGTTGACTTCTTAATGCCTGAGCTTGGTCCTCGCCGGGAAGAGCTTCTCTTTCCAGACCCTTCAGCTAACTGATATGGACTCTATTTGTCTGCACAGTTTCACATGGAAATATGAGTTGAGTTTCTATCAGTTGTTAAAAGGCAGTAGCAAAGGTTATATTGTAATCTAACTCCAAAATTCTGAGGCTCCAGAAATGTTTTCTACTAATGATAATTATTAGACAATATTTTGAACAAAGACAATGACGTCTAAAAAGTTAGAGAACACTTACGAAAAAAAAAATACCCAAAACACTGAAAAATATCACAACAAACTTTGAGTACCACCAGGCCCAACATTCTTTCAAAGATATTTTCCAAGTTCAAGGGGCTCATTTTACTTGCCTCCATAGGCCCTTGATTTTTTCCACCGAATAAATATGGCAATGGCCAGCAGGACAACCAGTGGAATAACCAGCAGGGTTGTAATGAGAACAACGGGCACGCCTGAACCCGGCTCTTTGATCAGTTTCTGTTTTTCTTGCATCTTCTGCAATTCTGAGGAGGTGGGTTTGTTCTCCATTTTGGTTTCAACAACTGCCTCGGGTTCTTCAGGGAGAGAAGAGTTCACAATATTCATCTGACTCAAAGATTCCCAAGCCCTGCCCCCCACACCCCCCAGTCCAGTCAACTTCTGCTCACAAACAACTCGCTTGTGGAAGCCACGACACGTGGTGCTCTTGTTTCAAGATCTGAACCTACCCAACCAGTATATGATAAGTAATTCACCTTTCGGTTGGTTTTCTTTGATTTAACCCTTCATGCCCTCTTTAGTTATACTTTCACACAGTATAAATTTTTCCACTGAATTTTTTTTCAAAGCGAAAATGAATAGGCAGCATGGATAGAGAGACAGCATTCATGCTGGGCTTCAGTGCATATGGGCTCAGATCCTCGTGCTCCTGTGTAACTAGAAGGGTCACTTTGGGCAAGTTACTTAAATGACTGGGGCCTTAGTAACCTTATCTGTAAGCCTGTGAAAATTTCTTCTTCATAAAATTGCTGAGTGGAAACATTTATCATAAAGGTGTTGGGACAAGTATATAGGTCAAAGCACATGCCTTGCATATAGCCAACGCTGGTTTACCCTGCAGACTTTTTTTGGTCCCCCAAAATAAACTGGGAGTAACTGAAGGCCCTTGAGAGTGTATGTGGGGTGGCCAAGGTAATCACTTTGTATATAGTACTTGTTCTTCCATATCTTTGTTTTATGAATTTTGTGTTTAATATATAATCTGTAGAAAATAAGCAGAGCTACAAACACTGATTCTGTAATTATAAACTGGATTAAAGAGCTGTTGTCTTCAAGTATTTTCTACAGTTAACCAGCCAAATGTAAGTGTATAAAAGACACACCATTTATTCTTGGCAAAAAATAACTTGTACAAATACTCTTTGGCATTGGCAGCTATGAGGAGATATCAGGGTTAGAGTCCTATGTGATAAAATCATGTGATCTTCAAGTACATCAGCTGCAGCTTTTCATGCCTACAAACTTAAAAATGAGAATGAGCCTTGAGGCACTCTTGCTCTTGTGATGAGTACATGTGTTTTTGTATAAAAATTCCAGCATGTAATGCAGACTAAAAGCCAAAAGGCTCACAAGGTTTCTGAAACTTCAACTTCTTGGGTGCCTTTCTGCCTCCAGATAGAACTGATATCTAGGGCCTTAAGATGTATTAGATAGGGCCTTAAGGCATATAGGCTTCATATATATATATTTGGATAAAACGGCAGGGATAGTTGGCTTCACACAATCAGAAAAAAAATTTGTCTAATGTTTGTTAAGTGCTGATGCAGCTAAAGTAGGTCACTGGATGCTTCTCCAAGTAATTATTTCTCAAATTACTTAAGATACTATACACCCAATTAAAGGTATACATAATTGAAAGCTCTCAACCTTTTGCTTCAATGCTCTGAACCAGCTTCCATCAAGATCTTAATTATGTCAGCTGAGTACTTATGGTATGTTAGGTAATGTTCCCATTTAATCCTCACACCGAGCATATGAATGGTATCATTATCAACCTTTTACAGATGACCTCATTGTCCTCATTGTACAATATTAGGGAAATGACTGTCTCTCTTTGTTTTGTCCACTGTACTGGCCTTTGCAACGGTAGTAGGGCAGAAGATAAACAATTGGCTCATCAGTCTATTAGGTCCAAATCTGACCTTTCTAAGTCTCCATTTCCAAGACAAATAGAAATGTGACATTTACTCTTGCTGATCATGAACTATTCTGAACTTTTCATAACTCTAGGGTTTTACATACTTTACACCCAACCCGCTGTGCTATAGCTCCAGCCACTTGGCCTGCCAAAGAGGCAGGCAAGGGGTGGCGAATGGGAGCTGATGGAAGGGAACCTGGGAATACTGGTGGTGGGAAATGTACACTGGTGGAGGGATGGGTGCTGGAATACTGTATGACTGAAATTCAATCATGAACAGCTTTGTAATGCCCTATAAAATAAAAATTGAAAAATTAAAAAAAATTTAAGCTGGAAGATACAATGAAGATATGTATCTTCATAGGCCAAAGAAAATAGACCAAAGACATAGCACAGTAGTCAAGAACTAATTATCTTGAAGGAAGAGCTTGTTTCTATTATAAAGGAGACTGCCTATAACCAGTTACTACCGAATATTTTCTACTTGTCATTTACTGGGTTTACTTATATCTAAAACAATGGCTGTCTCAATTTATATCTAGTTTATTTTATAAAGTAGAACTAGGATTAGGCCTGATTAAAAAGAAAGAAGAATTATGGATGAAATAGGTGACAGACTGAAAGATCAGCTTAGCAGGCACAAAAGTATGCTCAGAGTGAGGTCATGAATTGCTAAGATAAATGCATTGTACTTCAGAAATTCCTGATATCCATAATGGCCTGATATTTCAGTATCATCTATTAAAAAATATCTGGACATGGAGTCGGAATGAAACCCTATATTATGCAAGAAACCCTACATTAACAGTATTGTAAGCTATGGTGCTGACAATACAATGAAGAGGTTTAATAATTTAACACTCCAAATTTTGGAATCAGCCGAAATACTTTACATTTTAAAAGATGTCCTATATTTAATTAAATGAATTAATTTATATTTTTGTATTTGGGCCACATCCACTCAGGGTTTACTCATAACTCTGTGCTCAAAGATCACACCTGAGGGTTGAATCTGGGCCAGCTACATATAAGGCAAGTGCCCTATCTCCTGTTCTAATGCTCTGGCTCCAGAAGTGCTATATATTGAAGGAGGATTTAAACATTAATTTTTCTAAGCTAAAAAGTATTATTTCTTTTCTCTGAATATTTTAATGAGTGTAGTAAAAATAGAAAACAAAATAAAACAACTATAGTTACCACCTATGATCTCAAGAATTTTATTCAAACCACAAAATAATCCATGTTCTTTTTAGGGGCTATACTCAGCTGTACTGAGGGCATACTTCTTGCTCTGCACTCAGGGATCACTCCTGGTGGAGAACCATATGGTGGAGAACCAAACTGCTTCGAATTGGGAAAACAGTTAGCACCAGAGATTGAACTTGAGGCAGCAGCATGCAAGGCAGGTTTCAGTGGTGCACTATCCACTGAAATATCTTTACAGTCCTGAAGTTCTCTCAACCTTAATTCCTATTATTAAAAATCCAAGTAATTTGCAGTCCAGAATGAAGGTGAAAAAAAGATACTTGAACATTAGCCAGGACTCAGAGTTGTACAAGAGAAAAGGCGCTTTGTACCATATTCTTAGATCAAAGAAGGTGTGATTGGTGTTCCATCTAAAATTCATACACACACACAAATCTGTGAATAGATCATCTAACATATCTAAAGATATTTGTACATCAACCTCATTTTGAAAGTTCTGATGTGTAACAAGTTTTTTCTTCTTTGGATACGTGTTTAGAAAGGGAGGTGAGTTCCATTTCTGTGTGAATTCTCAGACTGAGGTGGCTGGGTTTCTCTTTGCTGGACAGCAGAGAAGACAAAAACTGCTTCGAATTGGGAAAATGACTAGCACCAGAGATGTCTGCCTCATTCGCCACAGGCATGACAGTCTTCTGGGTGTGATTTAGATCATGTTCCAGTATCAAAAGCATTACCCTTCCTTCTTAATATATAATATGCATTCTCTACAATGCACTGTTCTCCCTGGGGCCTAAGACATGACTGATCTGTGCTAAAAAAGAAAGTTTCTTTCAAAAAACTCTTTGTTGACTAAGTTCTATCGGTTTACCTCAGCATCTTTTATTGTAGATCAGGGTTGAGTTTCATGTTTTTGGTAGGATACCGCCATAGAGCCTGGCAAGCTCCCCATGGCATATTTGATATGCCAAAAACAGTAACAATAACGGGTCTCAATCCCTTGACTCTGAAAGAGCCTCCAATATAGCACCGTTGGGAAGGATGAGTAAGGAGAGACTACTAAAATCTCAGGGCTGGGACAAATGGAGACGTTACTGGTGTCTGGTCTAGCAAATCAATGAACAACGGGATGACAGTGATACAGTGATACTGCATATTAGTTTCTTTTCTGTTTTGTTTTTTTTTGGGCCACACCTAGAAATGCTCAGGGTTTACTTCTGGTTCAGGAATCACTCCTGGTGGTGCTTTGGGGACCATATGGAATGCTGGGGCTGGAGCAATAGCACAGCAGGTAGGGCATTTGCCTTGCATGCAGCCAACATGGCCGACCTGAGTTTGATTCCTCTGCCCCTCTCAGATAGCCCAGCAAGCTACGGAGAGTATCTCACTGGTACGGCAAAGCCTGGCGAGCTACCCATGACGTATTTGATATGCCAAACACAGTAACAAGTCTCACAATGTTACTGGGCCCGCTGGAGCAAATTGATGAACGACAGGAGGACAGTGACAGTGATGGAATGCTGGAGATTGAACCCTGGGTTGGCCACATGCAAGACAAGTGTCCTACTCACGTTACTATCTTTCTAACCCCATATAAGTTTCTTTGAAAATAAAGAAAAAGTATCTTTCCTTAATTTCTTCTCCGCCAATCTTCCTATCTCCTCCACTTCTTGAGAACGAAACATGGGCTCTGCATGTCTGTGATTCCATACTCAATGACAGTGGGTTGAGAATCAGCAATGATTGTTTGAATTGGGAAATTTCCAAATTTCCTATGGAATCTGGGCTGGCATTCCTCCCTCTCTTTTGTCAGGGGGAAGATTTAGGTTGATCCCTATTCTGTTTTGTAACAAGAAAATAGCCTTAAAAAAATCTCCACAAGCACCTACTGGCTGAAGGAGGAACAGAACAACTTGATTTGTTCTGCTCAGGTGTTCCGAATTATTAACACCGGACTCTTGGCACTACTCACTACAATGAACTATCTGAACCCTGGCCATCATCGGAAGGTGGGCGATTTCCCAACCATATGAGTGGGATGGTGAAATGGCCTAGGCAGGGACAATTCACATTACTTTGGCCAACACAAGGGGGTCAGACTGCTGGGCTATTCTCCACTCTAAGGGCTCACTTTAAATATGAATTGAGTTCCCCAATGATTCAGAGTAAACTGCAATCATCAACAACTGCAGTTCTTGGAAAAACTGATGTGCATGTATTAGAGAAGCTTTGGCACTAAGAAAATGTTGGCTTCCAAGTTGGCTCTAACTCTTAGATTTTAAGAGTCACTGTGATCCTCAGTTTCTTCATATGTAAAGACAGGGATAACAGCATTATCACGTGGTTGGTTTAAAGATTAAATAACAGTTTTGACATAGTCCCAAAAGGGTGACTTATTATTACTGAGAGAGGCTTTTTCAACATAACAGTATTAGAACAGGGCTTCAAGAAATTTTCATTGTGTGTGTGGTATGAACAACACCATGACTCACTTGTGTCACCAGGGAAGAGACTCTACAAATGCCAAGCAGTTGCTATCGATTTTATAGTATTATCTTACCCCTTTCAACCTTGAGCTGGCTTATATTTTCTTATCTTAAATGAAAACACAAAATCCCTAAACTCCCTGTTGGTTCTTGCTTCTTTTCATTTCTTTTGCACCTGCTTTCATGGGGAAGGAAAACAAGGAAGCCTAAGGTTAAGTGTGAATATCTATGAGAACCATTTGTAAAGCAACTAATAATGAATTACTTGGTTACTTAAATATTGCGAGCACTTCTAGTGAATTCTTAACTGTACACAGCCAGGTTGAAACCTGCAGATGTAGAAAATAAACAATCTACATTGGTCCTAGAAAAGGTAAAGGTAAAGGCCCTCCCGTTGATCATCGATTTGCTCGAGCGGGCCCAGTAACGTCTCCATTGGAGATTTTGTTGTTACTGTGTCTGGCATATCGAATACATCACGGGTGGCTTGCCAGGCTCTGCCGTGGTCCTAGAAAAAGGAGAAAATAATTTGACTGGGATTCCACAAAAGCCAGTCATTGTATACCAGTGGCAGCTACCTATTTCTGAGAATATATATCCATGATATTTTTATTTGTTTATGTTTGCTCTTTCCTGTCTCCTTTATCTTGCTCTCTCTTTCTTGTTCTCTCTGTATCTCTCCTCCCCTCTCTTTTTCTTTTTCCTATTTATCTTCTTCATTTTCTTCCTCTTCCTCTTCCTCTCTAGACTGTAAATCTCTTGAAGTCTTCCACTTTTATTTCTCCAAACTTTGCTATAATTCTGGCGAATACTGGTGTCTAAGTGGCAATTAATTTGCTGCTCTAAATGAAAACCATGAAAGAAAAAGCCTTTCTTGATACACTGAGTGGTGTTTTTCAATCTGCCGGCTTAAGATTAATGTACATTGAAAGTGACTGACTGATTTATAATTCTTTTTGAGTGTCTGATGAACTGATTTTAGATTTGGTACATCCTCAGTTTCCTACTACTACATGAAATCAGTGATCAGGGATCATTATTACCACTCATATTGTTCAGAAAAGCACTGGCAATACATGGATTTGAAGGCTCAATACATAGTAGAAGTTATTTTACCAGATTATATTGTTTAAATGAATGAAAATTCTATAATAGAATACACAAAAATAGATCTGATTACAAGCCAAAGGAAGAATGTGACCAACCTTTAATTTCTTGGCCATCAATGCCTGCCTTTTTAACAGATCGATGTTCCATTCCTGTAAGATAACACAGAAAGGAGAGAGAGAATATAAGAATAACCAAAAACTTTTAAATGTCAACTTTGATATTAATTCTAATCAGCAAGTGATATTTTCTTAATTATTCAGATATACTTTAACTGTATAGAAGTGCTTATTATAATTCATTAATTGGGGACTAGGTTCACCAATATTAGATCTCCTGGGAAGCTGAAATCTGTTTCTCAGTTCTTCATATTTAAACTAAGAGAGTTTCTTTGTGGTTCATTAATATTTTACTCTTTTGAAACACCACATAGATTTCTATATTCACATGGACATCCTGGACTGATCACTAGTTTGCAAACTGTTCCATTATTAGTCCTCTAGCTGACGCAAGTGGCTTGAGTAGTAAAATGCTAGAACTCAAATACAGGAGCATTCTGCTCCAAATGAGTTTCTGTTTTCTTTGGTTGCATTTTGGGTTGCACTTTGGACTGCTTACTCTTTTCTACCAGAGAGCTCCAATGCTTCAAACCCACTGAGAAGTCTTTCTAAAATCATGCTTCTGCTGGGTTTGTGGCCTCCACTGTTGGGGGCGTGGCTTCCTCAAAAGTGGACGTGGCCTTCTGTGTGGCCAGCAGCCACTAATGCAGCCGCAGTTATTTTCCCCATTCCCAGCACTCTCAACTCATATCCCAACCTATATTACCTAATTCTGTGCAAAACGTCCCGGCCGCCTCAAACACAATACAACAATCCACTGGCCTACACCAACTCCATTAAAAGACCAGTGTATGCAAAAGCTGTACAAGCCCTATATAAAAGAGCATTCTCTCCAATGCTTCATTAGATGCCTATCATAAGTCACAGAGTAATGTTTGAGAGCAAGGACGTATTCTAGAGGGGGAGAAGGGTGACCACTGTCTACCAAGCTCATTCAGAACCCATTTCTGAATAAAAAGGGAACAGTGCTAGTGAATTTGAAGGTTCTACCTCTATACAACCACAACAACATGAAGAAACAGCGCAAATCTCCATTACGAGAAAAGGAGGAGGAAAAGAGTCACGAATCCTCAACAGAGGTTACCCACAAATACGATATCTCTGATAAAGAATATGGAGATTAAATATTGAAGATGTTCAAGGAACTCAAAAGAATCAATGGAGCAGACATCCAGAATATTAAAGGAAGAAATGAAAGAAACAGTGGATTGGATAGTCGAGAACATACAGGAAGAAATGAGAGCAGAAATGAAAAAGCTACAAAAAGAAGTGTCACAAATAAAGCATTCAGTAGATGAAATTAAAAACTCAGCGGGTGCCCTTAATGGTAGAATGACTAAAGCTGAAGACAGGATCAGTGAGCTTGAAAATGAGCAGCAGAAATCGTATAGACAACAACAAACAATGGGAAAAGACCTTAAAATAGCTCTAAGTTGAATCAGAGACTTAGGGGATGACGCCAAGACAAACATTAGAATCATTGGAGTACCAGAAGGACAGGGAGGCGGAGGCAACCCCAATGAAAAAGCCACAGTCAACGAAATCATTGCTGGAAAGTCCCTAGAGTTAAAGAATGAAGACATACAGATCCAAGGAGCCAGAAGGATGCCAGTTAAAAGAGACCCTAATAAAAACACTCCAAGGCGTATCATAGACAAAATGATGGATTTCATGGATAGAGATACAATACTTCAAGCAGCAAGGTCAAAGAAGGAAATGACCTAAAAAGTAGCACCCCTTAGATTTACAGCAGACCTATCAGAGGAAACCTTCCAAGCCCAAAGACAATGGTGGGATATAGTGAAAAAACTCAATAAAATGAACACCTCACCAAAAATACTTTATCTAGCTAAACTCTCACTCAAACTTGATGGAACAATACATCATTTTATAGATAAACAAGAGCTCAGGAACTTCATAGACGCAAAACCAAACCTAAAAGAAGGACGAATGGGGCTCCTGTAATATAAGAAGGAAAACAACTACAAGCACAACCAACCCCTACAGAAAGATAGCACAAAACACAATGACAATAATCTCTCTGAATGTCAATGGTATAAATGCACCAATTGAGAGACAGAGAATGGCAAAATGGATCCAGAAACTGAAACCAACATTCCACGGCCTACAAGAAATACATCTGAATAGTCAGAGAAAACACAGACTCAAAGTTAAAAGATGGAAGACAATCCTGCAAACATCTCCCCAACCTCAAACTCTACTCCAAACTGGTAATAATTAAAATAGCATCGTACTGGAACAAAGCTAGAGCCTCAGACAAATGGAACAGGGTGGAATATCCTTACACACAAATATATGAACATCTAAGCTTTGATAAGGGAGTAAGAAATGTGAAGGAAAAAAATGCAAGGAAAGCCTCTTTAACAAATGGTGCTGGCATAACTGGACAACCACATGAAAAAAAAGGGCTTAGACCTCGACTTAACACTATGCACAAAAGTCAGATCAAAATGAATTAAATATCTCAACATCAGGCCAGAATCCATAGGTACAAGGAAGACAAGGTCGGCAAAACCCTCCATGATATTGAGGCTAACGGTATCTTCAAAGATGATACTCCATTGACCAACCAAGTGGAAACAGATAAACAAATGGGACTATCTTAAACTAAGAAGCTTCTGCACCGCAAAAGATACAGTGACAATATACAAAGACAAAGACAATATACAAAATACAAAGACAATATACAGAATGGGAAAGGATATTCACCCAATACCTATTGGACAAGGGGTTGATATCAAGGATATATAAGGCACTGGTTGACCTCTGCAAGAAGAAAACATCCAACCCCATCAAAAAATGGGGTGATGAAATGAATAGAAACTGTCTCAAGGAAGAAATACTAATGGTAAAAAGGCACATGAAAAAAATGCTCTTCATCACTAATCATCACGGAGAAGCAGATCAAAACAACTATGAGGTAACACCTCAAACCACAGAAACTGGCACACATTCAAAAGAACAAAAGCAACTTGTGTTGGCGTGAATCTGGGGAGAAGGAGACTTCCTTCACTGCTGGTGGGAATTCAGACTGGTTCAGCCCTTCTGGAAAACAGTAGGGACACTTCTCAAAAAATTAGAAATTGGAGCCGCGTGGGACGGGCACAGAGGCCCAGCTCTGGGCAACAAAGCTGAACGGCTCCAATTCCAACAGGTACAGCCCGCCCCCAAGGGCCTGGGTTCCTCTCTGGGCACGCGCAGCTAGAAACAGCCCCGAGACAGCCGGTTTTCAACCCCTGAGCCGCGTGGGACGGGCACAGAGGCCCAGCTCTGGGCAACAAAGCTGAACGCGCAGCTAGAAACAGCCCCGAGACAGCCGGTTTTCAACCCCTGAGCCGCGTGGGACGGGCACAGAGGCCCAGCTCTGGGCAACAAAGCTGAAAGGCTCCAATTCCAAACAGGAGACATTCCCAACTCCTCGCCCAGTGCCAGGGACTCTTTCCGGAGCCGCGGCCGCTAACGCGGCCGCGAAATATTTTCCCACTTCATATGCCATAGGAACCATAAGCTAACTTCTTAGATGGAAACTTCTCTATTTTAGCTCAGCCACTAGAAATACAGTTGCCAATAACTCATAAGCCTATCTTAACTCACACTGCATATCAAGCAGAATAGTAACACTGAACGTGAAGGACTAAACCACACCTCTCACAATGGTAAAGCAACGCAAAAGCCCACCAAACATTCATATTGAAGAGTCTAGCCCAGATGACACCAACAGTACTGTAGTGTTAGACAACCTCTCTGACAAGGAATTCAGAAGGGAGCTACTTAGGATGCTTAGGGAATTAAAAGAAACAATGGAAAGCAATGCCAATAGAAGACAAGAGGATCTGAAGGCAGAAATGAGGAAAATGCAATCAGAAATGTCAGACCTGAAAAATCTCGTAGGCGAATTGAAAAGCTCAGTGGAAGGCCTCAGCAGCAGAGTAACAGCGGCTGAGAACAGAATCAGTGAGCTCGAAGATGAAGTTCAGAGACTCTCCCGAAAAGAGCAGAAAATGGAAAAGAGACTCACAATTCGGGAACAGATGGCAAGAGAAGATCGTGATGAAGCCAAGAGGGGTAACATAAGAATTATTGGAGTCCCAGAGGGACAGGAAGAAAACCTCGATGAAGAAGAAACAGTCAAAGACATCATTGCTACAACATTTCCAGAGCTGAAGAAAACTTGTGACCACATTCAGGAGGCCCGAAGGGTACCAGCTAGAAGAAATCCGAATAAAAATACCCCAAGACACATTCTGATCAAAATGACCAAAACCTTAGACAGAGACAAAATTCTGAAAGCAGCAAGATCGAAGAAAGAAATCTCTTACAAAGGAGCATCCTTAAAATTCACAGCTGATTTTTCTGATGAAACCCTCATGGCCCGAAAACAGTGGTGGGACATAGTAAAAAAACTCAATGAAATAAATGCCTCCCCCAAAATACTTTTCCCAGCAAGACTCTCATTCATAATAGAAGGAACAACACACAGTTTCACAGACAAACAACAGCTCAGGAACTTCATAGACTCAAAACCATGGTTACAAGAACAACTAAATGGGCTACTTTAAGGCAAGAAAGGCCCCTCAAATACACCCAATTTTAACAGAACAATGGGACAAAATCCCATAACAATAATCTCTCTCAATGTCAATGGGCTAAACGCACCAATTAAAAGACATAGAGTGGCAGGATGGATTAGAAAATTGAACCCAACATTCTGCTGCCTGCAAGAAACGCATCTCAATAGTCAAAGCAAACACAGACTCAGAGTCAAAGGCTGGAAAACAATCCTACAGGCAAACAGCTCCCATAAAAAAGCTGGGGTAGCCATCCTTATATCAGACCACATTGATTTCAGAGTGAGGAAGGTCATAAGAGACAGTGAAGGCCATTACTTATTGATCAGAGGATCTGTACAACAGGAAGAACTTACAATAATAAATGTATATGCACCTAATGAGAGACCAGCAAAGTACTTAAAACAACTACTCATAGATTTGGAAAAAGACATCAATAGCAAC